TTATTCAGATTTAAGTTCAGACTTAAAAAAAAAATCATTTCTATGTGCAGCAGTCTTTGAAATTATTTTTCTTTAAAATTATACAATTTCCAATTTCAAGGTGTTATGTATGGCTGTTTAATAAATTTGAATTCCCTTTACCAATTAAGGAACACTTTGTACTGAGTTAACAGACAAGTTTTGATTAGAAAAACTCTTCATAGTTTGTGAGCATACAACGAAAATTACCATGTCCGTCCACTGTTTTGACCACACTAGGCCCACAACAATCTTTCACCTTTTCTTTGGCTTTGTCCAGGAGAATCTTTGATGCCACATATTTCTTAAAATCTTTAAAGAATGGATCTTTAGTCATATCGCTATGGTCTCTTTATGGAAAAAAAGAAACATCCTTCAAGATTTTTTTTATTTATAGCATTTCCCTAGTTTTAGCCTGGATTAATATCCTTTGATATTAAATCCAGTTGAAAAATTTTATTAAAAAAGGGGGTAGTTGAAAACAATGGAATTAAGTCTTTCTACATGTAATTCTGCAAACTTTTCCTTTGCTTTGTTTTTTGTCTAATATCATTAAAATGTATTTGAAATTTTCTTAATTTCAAAAAGATCTTAAATTTGAAGAAAAAAAGCTGATAAATATCTGGATGAACTAGAACTGTCCAAAAGGGACAAATACCCCCGCTGGATTTTTCAGAGAAGTTACCAAATCACTAATGTTTTCTAGATGTGAGAGGTGCAATTTGCTTAAACATTTAGAGTGAAAAATTAATTACTCATTATATTTTTTTAATGAATGAAACTAAGGTGCAGCCTAATAAAACATCAATACTAATAATTACAGTGTTTTTTATTACATTGAAAAATAGTTTGCAACTATCTGTCATCTTTGTGAGACACATGACACTCTGCAAATTGATTGTTGAAAAAAAATATCATAATTAATTATACAAAATCAAATTGATCTTAATACCTTTATATCAACCTCATTTTAAAAATAAAAGGCTGGTTCCAGTAACTATGTATTTTGACAGACATAAATTACAATTAAGAGACTTAGACAACAGAGATCTTTATTTCTTTCTGCCCAATTCCCAGGAGATATAGATAAGACCTGCTTGATCAGAGATGCCCTAACAGCTACCCACACTGAACTCATTAATTAATCTTTAACTGGATGATGTCCACTCATTACTCCCAAGGGACAAATGGATTTACACTATCTGCTGTGTAATGTAAAAACTGTTTTTAATACTTTGTGATTATTTTTTAATTCTAATGAGTAGTTTTAAGCTGTAGTTCACATTTTTGAACAGATGTTCTAGATTCTATGTCTCAAACCTTAGACATGAACCCAAAATGACTAAGTCAATAAAAATTAAAAAAAAACACCTGTAAAATGCAGAAAAATTATCAAATAATGTTGAAAATACCAGGTGCACATCTTCATACATGGTAAATAATACGTGTACAAATTTTCATATAAATCTATGCAATAGTCTCTGGGAACAGATCTGGACAAAACTACATAATAAAAATGAAAAAAAAACACCTGTAAAATGCAAAAAAATTATCCAATCATGATGAAAATACAAGGTGCACACCTTCACATGGTGAATAATAAGTGTACAAATTTTCAGACGAATCCTTGCAACAGTTTTCAAGAAATGGTCTGGGCAAAATCTCGTCTACAGACAGACGGACAGACAGGTGGACATGCTGATTCCAATATACCCCCCCCCACTAAACTTCGTTTGCGGGGGGTATAAAATTTTCTTTATAGCTGTCGATGCATAGTGATACAGAAACATGACATCTAAGTAGTAATTGTTTAAGGTGTGTGATATCCAAAGGAGTCTGAACATATTTACATTTTATTAATTAATAATTTTCACTACAGTGTTCTTTTAAAAAAAAAAACTTGAAGTCAGATTAAATAACATTTTATGATGAAATAAAACCTAGCTAAAAAAAAATATCGAATTGCAGCATGACATAAATAATTTTATTCTTGTTATTTGTGGTTTAAGTTTAAAGAATTTAAAATTTTACTAAGAACTTTCACATTCATGGCCAATTTTAGAATCCCAGATTTGATAGACATATTATTATTATTATTTTTTTTACCTTAAATGAGAATGCAAAGTATCACTTATTTGATATCAAATGGGATTTTAATTACTGCATCCCTGCAACCAGTACAAAACTTTGGTGGCATTAACTGTCACGTGTTGCATTAATTTATCTGTCTTGAAGATACAAACTTTTGTCAAATAATCCTTGCCTAGATTTTCAGAACTAAAGCTATGAAAATGGCTCAATACAGAAAAAATATTACAAATTTATTTATTCAATAAAATGGACTGCACTATTTATGAAATTAAACAAGAAACTTCAATATATCAAAGTTTAGAATTTTAGAATTTTTCACCAATAAACTAAGAAAAACTGAGCCATTAAATGTTACAATAGGCACTGCTGAATACTGGCCACCTGAGAAGTTACTGATAAAACCCTGACACTACATAGTAATTTATTTAGCATTTTGTAATAGAAAGGTTTTTAAGAATTTTTTTACCTGCATATATATTATTAAGGCATTTTTTTCCATCTTACTCAAGTTCTCTCCAATAAACATGAAAGAAATATTTCTACAAATTGAATATGTATTTTTTCTTGATACTAAACGATTAAAAAATTTAAATCCTCAGCCTTTGTAATCTGTAATTATTAACATTGCACCTGATTAAAGACTATGATTGTTCAAAGTCATACCGTCAACATCATCTGCTGATAATGAACTGGAATCAATTGTTTCAATTTCATTTGATGTAATTCTTTGACTCTCATTGTTGTGTCGATTCTTTTTTAAAGTTCGCCTCTTTCTACTTCTTGCTTTGATATTTTCTTTGCTTTTACATTTTTTGCCCATTGATGGATTTTCAAATCTTAAAAGTAAAATGAATGCATGATTAATTTTATGTTATTTATATGTTTATATGTAAATTAAGAAATTATTTTTAACAGAAAAAAAAAATTGATCTTGTGTCTAAATATCCAGGTACTGCCAAGTGCAGATGTCAGTGAGGTATCATATTTGACCACATTGGTCTTTGTATTTGGTAGCAGCAGGGTATTTTTACACACAAGATAATAGCTTTACAACAAAGATAAAGACCTAAAGACCAGCAGGGAGCAACTTTGTTGTCCTTGTAATTTGTCTAATGCATACATAATGAGCCTCTCAGCATGTCAGTATACTATCACTTCAGTGTTCTTTAATTAACAATTAACTCTGAAAACTTTTGCAACTGTTCTCTGTTCATTCTACCCCCTAATACCTTTATCCAACAGAGCTCTCAATTATTGCGGAGACAGGGAAACAAAGTACATCAAAGCATTTATCGCATCCTGCTGCCAAGACGGCACTGCAGGGGTTGAGGTGGGTAGAATTTATGATGTTCTGTGTCATTAGATTTGTATGTAAAATTTATATACAATGAACAAACAATAAAAAGTTGCGTTTTTTTTTTTATAAACTGAAGTTCATAATAATTATTATCCAAAATTCCACTAAGATAAGACACATTGATATGATAATACATTTCAAATTCACACTTTAAAAACATGATTATCAACAGTTTATAAATGCAAAAGATGAAGCCCCTGCTAATGAATTCATACCATGCATACAGGGTTGAATAAAGTATGAATATATTATAAATAAAGTAAGTGATACACATTATATGTGTTATAGATATTCAATTTTTTAGGTGAGAGGGTTATTGGAGAGAAAAAATCCTGAGATAACAGATTTGGACCCCTGTCTGTGCCCCCCCCCCCAAAAAAAAAACGAATCCATTACTGAAACACAATTTTAACAAGTTATCAGATTCATTTAAGTTTCGTAACTATACATATGAGTTGATATTTAAAATACACTATATATGTAGACTAGGCTGTGTCAATATATCGATTAATCAATAGGTATCGATATTCAGGAATGTATTGTATCCAAAAAAATAACTTCCAATACGTATTGGGCAGGCATGCAGTTTTTCTTTTAATTGTGTGAAAAAGGTAGGAATTTCAGTCAACAAAGATTTTTTAACTGTTTTTAATTAAAACTGGTCAATAATGAAACATTAAGGAGATAGCACACCCTAAATAACTATTACAAAATACATAGACAACTATATTTTAACATGTTAGTTTTACAGTCATTAAAAGTTTAAATTCGAAGTGTACTTTGTAAAGACAGTGAGACATGAACTTCCAATCTGATGATAAAACACAAGAGTTTTTATCAAATTTATGTGTTAGTTCAATGTTTGATAGACTTCTTAAAAAATCCAATATATCGCATTTCGCTTTATCGAATATTGTATAGTATTGTATCGAAATATTGCTCAATACACAGCCCTAATGTAGATCTAGACCTAATACCTCCCCTCCCCACTCCCCCAAAATAAGGTCAGAATATTCCATTTGAAAATATGTACACTGTATACATATCTATATGATATATGTGTAAATAATTATACAAAACATTTTTGAATTACTTACGGTTGACGTAGATTAGATGTATTTATATATGGCTGAACTTCTTTCAGGAACTTTGTTATGTTCTTTGTTCTTGAATCTAATCAGTGTTGAGCGCGCAAAATTTTGTGAACCTAAGTGGAATTAGTAAATTAATCGTTGTTGAATTCGCTGATTTCTCGATGACTGTTTTTATTATTTTAATTTATGGACCAAAAACCATCTGACTTTCAAAAGAGAAACATATAAAACTCCATTTTATTTCAAATATTTAACGAAAGTTTGTTTAAAAAAAAAATGGACAAGAACAAGAATAAAATCGAAACGCGAACCAATAAACGAACGCCTGTTTGGTACTGCCAAATATGGAAAGAGATGCTGACAGCCAATCATAAGTCGGAGAAGAAAAGGCGCTCCGGCATAAATGCGGCCTATCACAATTTCAAAATTGAGATGCGAAAATGTCGAGCGTGGACATGGACTTTAGTGGCCCTGAACAAGAAAACGAGAGTCAGGACAGTTTACATTTAGAGTTAGAAGAAACGGAGATCGACTCCCTAGAATGTAGTGATATTGATAGCACGACAATTACCCCACTGAAAAAGAAAAAGAGCCGGGGCGCAGTCAGACGTGTACGTGTCCTAAGGCCACTGTCTCCAAGTGATGCTGGGTCGGAATCTGACTCAATTCTGGTAAGAAATTTCTTTTAATAAAAACTCTAGATACACACTATGCGATGCAAATGTACATTTCTTTTAAACAACTGAAAAATTGGTAGATCTATTTTTGTTCAACCCACACTGTGACGCACCCTTTTCTTTGTTATACTTTACCCCCCCCCCTTCCTTTTTTTTTGGTTATCTTTGCCAACTCGATACGTACAGCTTTGTTGCATTAGCTTTGCTTCAAATTTTTCTTTTAATTTAATGTCCATTTCATTTTGCATGGATCTCAAATTTACTTGCCATTTATGTTTAATTTGTGTTGAGACAACAAAAATTATACAGCCTCTGCTTTAAAATACAGTATTTGTTTTTAAAATATGTCAACGAAAGTCACTGAACACACCCAGATGTTTGCAATTGCAACAGTTTAAATAAACCATGATAAAGAACCTGAAAATTTTATAAATTTTTGATTGACCCTTCACAGGGGTCCATGTAAATCAATATTCATTCTTACCCAAGCCAAAGTAAAGATTGGGATGGTCTTGAGGGCCCTCAAACTCTATGTATATTGTTGGTTTGTATTTTTGGTAGCAGTTAAAATTGAATTGTTGAAAATAAAGTGGAGACAGCATTCAACATCCTAAATATTGCTTTTGAAGAGTAGAAACCATTGCAATTGCCAAAAACTAAAGGGGAGGTTGGGTGTTAAATATAGCTAAAAGGGATCTCAACTTTCTTGTAGTGGTGGGAAGGGGAAACACATTACCGGTACTTACAAAGGGAGTGAGGGCAGACCCATTTAGCCTCCATGCACTTTGCATTTCTTTTTTACAAATATATGGAGGGTTATATTTAGGTTTCTGTATTTGTCCATCTATGAGACAGCTTTTATGCAAGTCTATAGCATATCATACACCTATTTTTTTTCTTTTATTACAAGAATACCAAAGAAAAGCTTGTACAGAGTTCAAGGAATAAAGAATATGAGCCTGAACAGACTCCATCAACTTTTGGCAAGGTAATGAACTAAAGATGAATGTGTAATATATATATATATATATATATATATATATATATATATATATATATATATATTACATATATATATATATATATATATATATATATATATATATATATATATATATATATACGAGGGCTGTTCGAAAATTATTGAGACAAATACTTTTATTCCACAAAGGACAGAGATAAATTCATAAAAATTCGTCAACGTTTTTCAAAGAACACATAAAACAAATGTACAAAATTTCTACTTTATAGGATAATTAAATAAGTTCCGGTGAAATTATAAACAAGCATATGTCTATTGACCTGGAGCAGCATCGCTACGTCATTTTAAAGTCAGGTCAGCCGATACATGTATATTCTCATTGTGAAATGATCAGGAAGCGTTCAATCTACTTTTTCTGTCATTACATATAACATTTCAAAAATCAAACTGTATTTTATCATTCTTAATCGATTCTTTAAAAAAAATTGAAAAAATAAAACGTGTGCTGTTGCTACCCCAGTGTAAAATATACACAAAGTGTCAAATACAGGTTGACTTAGCATCATGCAGTACCGAGTTATGCAACGCGGGTCAACGTTATTTAGTCCGTAATAATTGATGATCGTCCGAAGCTTTTGTTTTTATTCTGGTTGAATTATTTGTCTGAAAATAATATATACCAATGCAAAAATTAACCCTTAGACATGTTTTATTGCATTGTTGTTGTTTTAGCAGGTCGTTTAATCTGGACAAGAGTTCTCAATACCGCTACACAAAATTTTAGGTATGATTGCTGCTCCGCCTTGACGTCAAAATCCGTTTTGTCGTCGTTATCAGATTGCTATACCGCGCGTAAAGTTTTTAATGATCTCCGTATTTCTGATCGAAATTCTAACAAACTTGCACAAAATGAAGTCAAAGTTAAATTGAAAAATTATATACATAATTTGAATTATTTTCGTTCTTACTATGGGTCCACTGGGAGTTGGTGTTACATATTTTCAATATCCGATTTCGTGACTGCGCCGGGTACCCCTACCATTGACACATTAATATATCATTGAAAAGAAGAAGTAAAATATTTTTAAAATATTTCTTGTTTTTATTACTTCTTAGAGTTTGTCAAACGTATATGCAAATTTTCATCGAAAAACGTTCATTAGAAAGAAGAATATACACAATGTCTCAATAATTTCCGAACAGCCCTCGTATATATATATATATATATTGAGTGAATATTTTGTTTATGGAAAAGTTAAAATCCTCTTTTCAAAAATTGAATATAAAATAGCATATCAATTAAGGACCCTCTCTACATTAGTGCAAAATGTTTTTGGACATTGAGAAAATTATAGTAAATAAAGGTGTAAATATTGAGCCTATCTATTTTTTTTTTTGGGGTATATGGTACATGGCATTTACCCCCAGAAAAAATGTTCAAACACAACACAGTATCAGTGAACAGAAATCACTATTGTTTACTTCCATGGAGAAAATACATGTAAATAACCTGTTCAATTTATCTTGGCCTTTTAAAATGTTAAAAATACTTGAATTGATTACAAATTGAGTAATATACTGTAATTATCAATTTAGGCCATAAAAAATAAATTCCTTAATCCTAGATTCTCATCCCCGCCCACCCCAATTTTTTACCCCTGCCTTGATTTTTATTTGTTTTTCTTTGTCTTGATTCTGATCGAGATCGGTATTCAACTACCATTCAACTTTCGTCTTAAATCCCACGAATGTCGGCATGATTTTGACAGCTGACAAGATCATGAAGATGGTAATTGCTGTATGTATTAAACAAGGATCACTGGTTGTGAAAGATTGGTTATGTGTATTGGGAAATATGCATATTTAAATTGACCTCTACTACGACCTTCATTCTGGCATTATAGATAAATCTGCACCGATTGATCAGGTTGACAAAAAATCTGCACAATGGAAAAAATATAATAAAATCCGCCCACCCGCCTCGATTTTTCAAAAAATTTGGACGAGAATGTAGGAATTTTTTTTATTATGGCCTTATTAGAATTTAGATCTAAGGGCAGATCACTCTAACTGCAGAAAAATACCAAAGATTTAGAACTCTTTAGTGTGCAGTGTAGAGAGGGTTCTTGCAGTGTAGAGAGGGTTCTTAACTTTAGAAATGATTGAAATTTGCAACAGACTGGGGTCAATTTAAAAAAAAAAACATGTTTATGTTTAGAAATTAAGAATGGCTACTCTGAGGAGATCTGCAAGAAAAAGACCAAGTGATACAAGAGCAATCCTGCAAGAGTCAGACAAGGAAACTGATGCTGACACTCCATCCTCCCTGTGGGCAGTATGTACTCATTTCTATTCTGGTTTCATTAATTTTAGCCTTAATTACATTCAACATTGCATTTTCTTTGATAAATGAAGTATTGTAATTCATTAAAAAAAAGCAAGTGTCTGACTGTCATAAGTTGGAAAAGTACATTTCTAAATATGTGTGACCTTTACCGAGTATTTTATGTATTTATTAAATTATGCTATCGATTTCAGGAAAGCAGCAGCACTTTTCAAGTTAAGGAATACGTCCGTTATGTGTATTCAAAAAATGGTCAAGATCTATTAAGTGTATGCCCTTGCGAAAAGGCGATTTCATGAGGCACCTCGGCGTGAAACAGGCACACTCTGTAGACAAAAACACGGTAGAATTAATTCAATACATTCTCCCGATATTTTTTAAATAATGGTACTAAACAAACGTTTCAGATTTGTAATAATGGTCTACCTAAGATTTGCAAATAATATTCTGTTTAATAATAAAGTGCATTTTTCACTGTGAAAAAATTACTTCATCCGCCTCTCACTGCACATAAAATGCGTCAAACTTTACCATGATGACGTCATGTCGACAAGTACATTGCGATCAGTGACTTGTTTATATCTTGTTGTGTGGGATTTAACTAGCGACAAAAATGAATGCAGTGGTAAGTGTTGATGTAGTTCATTACTCTTATGCAGTTTAGATTCGCAAATTATTTCATTTTCTGTTATTGTGAGGAATTGCTATATTTGTGTGATGTCACAGTAAACTTTTCCCGTATAAATTAGGCCCCGCCTCCTTTATGCAGCCTTAACAGCTGTCAGTTCTAGATTCTATGTCTTAAACTTACATAAACCCAAAATGACTAAGTCAATAAAAATGAAAAAAAAAAAAAAAAAAAAAAACAGTAAAGTGCAGAAAAATTATCTAATTATGATGAAAAGAGCAGGTGCACACCTTCATATGGTGAATTATAAGTATACAGATTTTCAGACAAATCCATGCAATAGTCTGTGAATACAGGTCCGGACAAACTCTCGTCTACAGACGGACTGACATGGTGATTCCAATATACCCCCTTAACTTCGTTTTCGGGGGTATAACAAACTACCAAGGTTTGCAAGAGCTTTCCATGCCAGAAAAATGAATAAACCAGATGAAGACATCCATAAGCAAGTCAGTAATTGTCAGAGGGTACGCAATGAACAAGATGGGGGAATCAGAATTTCCGAATACTCGACGGTAGGTGTACTGTAATGCTTCTACTTATCTTTTCTTTTTCTATGCTTTTTGTGTCACCAGCTTAGACATATAGGAATACTTTAATAGGAATCACTTCATTTGGCATCTATCTCGAGAACTGTTAGAGATAATAGATTTGATAATTTGCATGTGTATTGCTTCCACTTTGGCTTTAATACTCTGGTTACTGACCTCATGAAACTTGAACTTTACCTTTGACATACTTTGTAAAATAGTTTATAGTGCTGATATTCAGCACATTTTTGTCCTTTTATAGGTAAGTCTATCCCGTTTAGCCATTTAGCATGTACACTGCTCGTCTTTAAACATGATAAAAAATACCATGTTACAGTCCATTGAACTTTAACCTACTCTGCCAAATATACTACATGTATTTCTTACCTGTAATATTCATATATAAAAATGAGAAAGACAAAAAACGACGCACACCTACATTTTACATCCATTTAATTCAATACTAATGGCAATTTGGCAATAAGATCTTTGTTGAATGCAAAGAACAGTTCAATGTTAATTGACTGATAATTTAAATACAAATGTTAATTACCCAAATTTTCAGCTCTTTAAATAAGGGGGGGGGGGGGGGTTAGACGATATTTTCCATTGAAATCGGGCTTTAAAGCATCAGCACATTTTAAAATATTCTTGGATATGAATAAATGTTCCTTAAATCTTTTCTCATGTTTTACGTATATAAAAGTAAACATATGTAATTGATAAAATACAAACTTTAAGTTGTAAACCCCTTCAAAAATTTGTTTGTCGCTTTTTGTCTGTAAGTATATGTTATCCCTGTAAAACACAAAAAGCTTTGGTATAAATTTGTGAAATAATCGTAAAAAGGAGTTTTTGTTTCACGGAGGGGGGGGGGGGGGGTTAGATGTTTCAAAAAAAAATTCCCTTTTCCGTTTATTTCTATAGTGAAAAACACATTTACGGGTATTGATCTTTGTTATTTTGAATTTTGGCACATTTTGTTGAAATAGGACAGTCGTATGCGTTCTCTATGCATGCGCAGTTTCTAATGTCAGTCGTCATTTTTATTAATATACAGAGGAGTTCCACAAGAAAATAAGGAAGTTGTTTGATGTTTTACATGCTGAAAAACACTTGGATTTATATATAATAATTTGACTTAAACGCCAAAGAAATAAAGTGTGCAAGCATTATACCATGCATGGCTGCGAAATCGTGAATGTTTACATTTTTTACATTACAGTGACCTACCCCAATTGTTTACAAATGACGGATACTCGGTAAGCTTATATATGCTTGTTCCAGAGAACTTCTTAGTGATGTAACTGTATGTCGAGTCCAATTTTTTTAAGTTGATAAATTGAACGGATTGAAGTGTTACGGATGTGTTAAATGAGACAGTGTCTGTTTACAAAGTCAAGGGACCGAAAGATGTCAACATTGTGTATCGGGAGTTGGCATGTGAGGAGTTACGCTACGTATTTTGGCAACAGAGGTTCTTCAGGTGAATTATTCAATGTCACTGGATTTCTATGGTTAATTTCTTCGGAATCAGTGGAGGTACTGGAACAAATCAACGTCATCTAGATTTGTTACTGGCAGCCATCCAACGCCACCTGCCGACGTTCCTGATAATCAATATGAAAGGAAACGACCTGGACAGTGACGAAGACATTTCCGAGTTAGCTGTGATGAAACTTGTTTTAATCTTTCAAACTCTGTAGAATGGATTTTCCATTCAAAGAATAACTGTCATTAAACTCTTTACCAAGGGAAGGAACTAGGCGCATTAGCACTGCAGTGTGTAATGCTCGTGTTGTAAAAGCTAATGTAAGTATAAAGGAACAGTGTGCCATATGCAATCTTGTTTACTGGCGCTTACGTGTATTTACCAAGTGTTGTCAATATTTATTCGGATGGTGTCAACATGATCTTAAAGGGGATGCGGATGTATTTTCGCTGAGAGAGATTCTGTTGACCCAACAAACTTATATATCTTTGGTATAACCATGATATCAGGTGCTTCTGGCTTAACCAAAAAAAAAGCTGTTTTGCTTAAGTTTTGTTTATTATGCACAACTTATTTGTCATCTTATCTTTGTAATTTTTAGTTAAATATGATTTATTGTAATTTAAGTGATTTGATATACTAATCGTTTGTTTTGCATTTTATAGCTACCAGTATCATCTTCAACTATCTGAAAGTTAACACAGGTTCTGCTTTAAGCTTTGCGGTTCCTAAAGGCATAATTCCATTTTATGCTTGTAAAGCCTTGTATTCCTATATAATGGGCTTTGCTAGGGTTTTACTGACTACTATTAAATGTAGTAAAGTGATCATTTAGACCAATCACCTATGGCTGCATATCACCACAAGTGTTCTGGCCTTGTCGGTCTAACTCACGTTTAGCAGCACTGGCTGCATATTACCACAAGTGCTCTGGCCTTGTCGGTCTAATTTACATTTAGCAACCTGGGTGAATATCACAAGTGCTCTGACCTTGTTAATGTACTGAATATACTGTAGAGGCACAGGCTTCGTAATTACCACAAGTGCTCTGGCCTTGTTAATTTATTGAATCTACATTAGAGGCATTGGCTCCATATTACCGAAAGTGCCCAGGCTTGCTTGGTATGATTCACAGATAGCTGCAGTGGCTATATATCACTACAAGTGCTCTTGCGTTGTTGGTATGAACATTATCAGAGTTGGAAGTGTTCTGTCTAATACTCAGGCCTTATTCATGCTTTGCCGTTAGATCTAGGAATTATACGTGCCATGAATGTTCGCTATCGAAAATATTTCATGCGCCATTTATTGACTGGTATTGAAACATCTTCCAATGCCTCTGTTAGATTATGCTCATTGGATCTCGCGGTCCTGGAACGACACAAAATCGTCGACTATTCAGTCTAGTTTTGCCGCAGCGGGAATCCCCCTCCAGGGCCCCGATGACTCGGACAGTGACGACATTCCTTTAGCACAGCTGAACAAAGGGCACGTGGCCCCTGGTTTTGCAGAAAATTCAATGAAAGATTTCGAAAATACTAAGAATGACATTACCATTCAGGAAATTTATGACGAAGAATGGGAGAAACAGATTATGAGACGAACGTAAACAATCATTACATGTAGAAAACAATTCAAGCGACGAAAACAATGACGAGCCCGACGAAACTGACTTGCACGAATTATACTGATGTGCTCGATTGTTTAACTAAAATCGAAAACTTCGCAAAAATTCACTATGATGACCACCTAGCTATCATACAAGATTTAAAGTCATGGACCGAAAACAAAATTATTGCAGTCGAGTCAAAGACATGCCAAACCACTATTGATTATTTTTTCAAAGAGTAACTGCTACGTTTCTCTATGTGTGAACTATCAGACGTTATATGTACATTATATGAATAGATTTTACTTGACTTAATCTTCAATTCTTGCTATCGGCAATTAGAAAGTTGTATTTGTGTATATAAAAGATTTTGCGTTGAATAAATGTCGAACAATTTATCACTTGGCGGTTACATTTTTATATTAAAAACACACACACACATACCTTCAAAACCTGGTTTGCTTTGTTAATTTATAGTAGATGTCTCTTTAAAATATATGCATCAAACTACATGTATTAACAAAGGGAAATAACTTTCAAATAATTTCCTTCAAATTTTCTTGCATTCCGGATTCTGTCTAATCCGGCCAATTGTACGGAACCAGTCGCGTCCGGTTTAGACACATTATTCTGTATTTTATGATGTTAGTAGATCTTAGATAAATATGGTATAAATGTATTTCAGGATTATTTCATTAGAAGTGTTTGGAATATACTAAGTATTCGAATCATTATTACATTGATTTAATACACTTAATATGTATTTTTTTGCAAATGTCAGTTACCATCTTTGACTCTGTCAAGCATCCTTCAAATCACAAGTAGTTTTTTACTACCTGTAGGCATTGGTAATTATCTTTGTTAATGGTTTTCTCATTCCCATGTGGTCCAGAAAGATCGGACGTTGGAAGGGACTCATGTCAAGACTTCCATAGATTGTTGATAGTCTAAGTCTGTTCGTAGGACTATTAATAATAATTCCACATCAATGTAACTGACAGCATGCCAGACAAAGCAGTGTGATGTAGATGGCTTTAGCACAAATAAATTTATTTCGTTCGGTAACGCCGAAAGCATTTGCAGAATTGAAAAGAAGTTCCTTGGTGCATATAACTATACCCCACGCAACAAGTTGCGGGGGTATAATGTTTTTGACCCGTCCGTCAGTCAGTCAGTCCTGTTTTTGTTTGTTTTTTGTTTTTTTTGTCAGCGCAACTCCTCATAAACCGCTGCCCAGAATTTCGTCAAACTTTGCAGATATTTAGGACACAATGTGTAGATGTGCATATTACCAGGAAATTCCGATTCTTTTATTTTTTCTGGGAATTTCGGCACTTCTCAACTTAGTTTTTTGGCCATATGTTGAATATAGAGATGAACAGTATGTCAGCGCAACTCCTCTTAAACCGCCGCACAGAATTTCATCAAACTTTGCAGATATTTAGGACACTATGTGTAGATGTGCATATTACCAGGAAATTCCGATTTCTTTATTTTTCTGGGAATTTCGGCACTTTTCAACTTAGATTTTTGGCCTTATCTTGAATAGAGAGATGAACAGTTTGTCAGCACAACTCCTCTTAAACCGCTGCACAGAATTTCATCAAACTTTGCAGATATGTAGGACACAGTGTGCAGTTGTGCATATTGCCAGGAAATTCCGATTCCATTTTTTTCCCTAAGAGTTTTGGGTATTATTCAAGAACCCACCCCCCCAAACCACCTCAAATTAATGCTTTGTCTTAAATTAATAATTTCACAAGTTCAGTATGTAAACAAATTTATATGACTGCATCATAATTTTGTTTCCATCAAATATTTAAATGTGTAAATTGTCAAGTAACACTTTTACTTTACTTTTACTTTAACACTTTTTAAATTAAATTAAATTTAAAATTCTTCTTTTCCTAAAATTATTTCTTCCAATCATTTGTAAAATTACTATATAAATATATATGTCCATGCATATAATTACTATAATTATTCGCTTTTTCTCTAACAAGAAGATTCTTTTTTTGCAAACAGATATTTATTTTAAAGTATAAGGCAGGAAGCTAGCTAAAAAAAAAAATGAAATAATTATTGTGTAAATTACATACATGTTTGTTTTGATGTTATGATTTTATTATTTTTTAAATCAGACTGTAGTTTTAATTGCAGTTTTAATATCATTCATTTGGACACTTCCAGACTTTTTTTCTTATGGTTTACCAGATTTATTTCTAACACTCTGAGTAGCTTCATAATGATAAATAAAAATGAGGGGCCAGCAAAGAAGGACAACTGAGACATATCAAGTTGTTTTTGAAAAAAAAAAAAATTGGGAAACAAACAGATTTTGTGTAGAATAAAGTGCCCCGCCACAGCATGATACGCCCTTCAAATATTGTTCAATTGTCATAAACAGTTTAGAGTGCAAGAAAATCATGTCAACTTGATACAAGGATTTCAATGATTTTTCCATTCCTTATAATATTTGTTAATACATCTCCTGTGGTGTAGGCAATTACAAATATAACATTACAGTTCCTCGACTGGTTGTGTTAGAGCTTGATAAATGCCCATCTGCCCCCCCCCCCCCCTCCAGCTTTCAGATGTATGAGACATGATGCTCTGAATTAGTTGATATTTTCAAAAAATTAAATAAAAATATCGTATAAAACAATATCAATTTAGTCTTTACAACCTAATCTATATCAAATTAATATTAACAATGAAAGGCTGGCCATCAAATGACATATGCTATAAACTGACAAGCAGTTCTTCTGTCTAATTCCCAAAGGATACAGACAAAAGCTGCTTGATATCAGAGATCCTCTAAAAGAAATGATTGAGAAAGCTAGCCTTCCTACACTGAACTCATTAATTAATCTTTAACTGGATGCATGTCCACTCATTACTCCCAACAGATGAATGGATCTATACATACTATCTGCTTTGCAGTGCAATAAAAATGCATGTTTATGTCATTCTGAAATTAAATTTGAAAACAAAGATTTTTTTAAATTTGTTACAAAGATTTATAAAAGAAACAAAAAACTTGTAAAATCTTGATGCAACATTTTTAATAAGGTTCCTGCATTACTATTAGATTTGTAGGGACTATCTACCATAATTAAAACATTTTTTTTTTAATTCTTGATTTTTTTAAGATTTAATGTCAGACTGGTTTTAAGCTGCAATTCATTCCAATATCACCCACGTCCCTCCCCGAGTATAATTAGTTTTAATTATATTATACAATATCAAATTAGTTTATTATACAATATCAAATTAATTTATTATGCAATAAAAAATAAGTTTTAATTATTTTTTACCAAATTCATTTTAAAAGTTAGGCTAGCCAACTATTTAATCCAACACGGCTGATTCTTTCTGCCCAGTTCCCAAGAGATATAGATAAAACCTGCTTGATCAGAGATGCTATACCAGTAAGCTCCTCACACTAAAACTCATTAATTTGTCTCTAATTTGACGTGCAATTTTGTTATAAAATTCTCTTTGACCAGTGGCCCTGCCCTAGCCCCGGGGGTCATGATTTGAACAAATTTGAATCTACACTACCTGAGGATGCTTCCACATGAGTTTCATCTTTCCTGGCCCTCTGGTTCTTGAGAAGAAGATTTTTAAAAGATGTTATTAATTTTTCACTAATTCTTTAATATCTCCCCTTGAAAGAGGGCGTGGCCCTTTATTTGAACAAACTTGAATCCCCTTCACCCAAGGATACTTTGTGGCAAATTTGGTTGAGATTGGTCCAGTGATTCTTGAGAAGAAGTCGAAAATGTTAACACGCATTCTCTGTAAGCACCAAAAAATCTTGGAAACGACATGTCTCGGATTTTGATGAAATTTGCACCACAGGTGTGTCTTGGTACAAAACTAGCAAATATGGAGTCGGAAGTTCCACACGTGCACTCGGTTGCCATGGAGACGGATCCATTGAATTTGGCCAATTTTGACCAAATGAAAACTTGGAAATTGAGGAAAAGTAAACAAATATTTATCGGTATCTAATACACTCAAACAAAAATCATTGGATCATATGATAACACGAACTTTTAAGGTACACAGGGCATATAATCATTTGTTCTAGAAATATTCTCACTCTAAGAAAAAGGTCATGCAAACTGACATGGTTTCTTAAAATTTGAAAAATGGGGAACTTAGTATTTTTTGAGATCTTTAAGGCTAAATAACAAAAATTGTCCGTGGAAAATTTCCAAATCTTATGTGTGTTTTTATACTGGAGAATTAGTAGTGTCATCTCATGAAAAAATATCGGTGGGCTTTTAATCCTATTTTTAGTAACATGTATTTATAAATAGATATATTTTAGAAAAATGTAAAAAATCAAATTTTGGCAAAGTTTTAGATGTCACTGCTGGATAATTAGGAAGTATATTGCAAAATTTATGTTAATGACAGTAGCTGGACACCACTAGCTGGAGTGGACAATGGTTGAGGGGGATTCCCATTTCTATTTATAGTATCAAGCACCTAAATATAGATATGTCTCTGAATATTGGGAAAAATGACAGTTTTATGCTAATTGGAAGCTTCATAGAAAAAGTCTTAACAAATATTGAGCTTTCTACAATATGCCTTCAAAAAGAAAATGTGTTTGTACAATAATTGATACAATATTGAGGATCGACTCTTGTTTCTTTTTATAGCAACAATGGTCTAAAAATAGATTCCTCGAATTATCGAGAAAATGTAGATTCTTGCACTTTTTCAGGCAATGTTGGATGGAAAAAAATGCAGACTAACTGTTATAAACCTAGTGCGACTGACAAGTACTAGAAACCATTTACTGAAATACACACTATTTGAAGGGGGTTCCCTTTTCTATTTTTAGCACAAACACCCATAAATAGAAACATCTCAGCATATGAGGAAAAATTACAATTTTCCACCAGTTGTAAGCGTCATTGAAAAAGTATTCACAAAATATACTGCTGTCTACAATATGTCATGAACAAGAACATTTGGATAAT